TTATAATAGCCTCAAAAAGAATAAAATATTCTGGATAAGTTTAATAGAAGTAGTGCAAAATTTATACACTGAAAACTACAAAACATTACTGAAAGAAAATTAAAAACCAAAATAAATGGAACACCATCTCAAACTTGTGGCTTATACTATTATTAACATGGCAGTAATCCTCAAACTGATGTATAGATTCAGTGCACTACCTCTAAAAAATCTCAACCTGACTTTTTGAAGAAATTGACAAATTGATGCTATAATTTCTATGGGAATGGAAGACACCTTGAATAGCTAAAAATTTTTGAAAAAGAACAAAGTTGGAGAACTCACAATTCTGAATATCAAAACATACTACCAAAGCTATAATCAAGATTGTGTAGTACTGATATAAGGAGAGATATGTAGAACAGTGGATAGAATTGACAATTCAGAAATAAAACCTCACATTTTTTAAAAAGATTTATTTATTTATTTATTTCTATAAGCACTGGGTACAGTCAGAAGCGCGGGAGGGTGAGAGAATTCACCAGAGCCAGAGCGGGGAGCAGAGCAGGCAGAAGGACCGAAGTACACTGCTGAGGGGAGCAGCGGGCGGCAGGAGAGGTCTGCGTGCCTTGTGGGACCCTCACCCGGTGGCTGGGGATCGCTGTGGAGGCTGCGGGCAGCTTCACAACCCAGCGCTCAACCGCTGCACCACCAGGGAGGCCCTAAAACCTCACACTTTATGGTAAAGTGATTGTTGTCAAGGGTACCAAGACAGTACAATGGAGAAAATAACAGTCTTTTTAACAAATGGTGCTGGTATAACTGTATATCCACATGCAGAAAATTAAGTTGGATATTTCACACCACAAATAAAAATTAACTCAAAATCAATCATTGACCAAAATGTAAGGGCTAAACTGTTAGCTTCTTAAAAGCAAACATAGGAATAGATCTTTGAAAGCTTGGGTTTCAATGCCTTTTTAGCCACAATACCAGAAGCACAAGTAACAAAAGAATAGGAAATTGGACTCTACTAAAACTAAAAAAGTTTGTGCTGCAAAATTCATTAAAAGTGAAAGACACCAATAAGTGAAAAAACAATCCAGAGGAGAAAATATTGCAAAGCATCTGTCTGATAGAGAATTATATCCATAACATATAAACACCATTTTCAATTCAGCAATGAAAAAGATCAATAGCCCAGTTTAAAAATGAGCCAAGTATTTGGACAGACATTTGTATAAAATATACAGATGGCCAATAAGTACATGGAACTACATTGCTATCACTGGCCATTAGGCAATTACAAATCAAAACCACAATATGATGCCACTGACTACCCACTAAAATGGCTCTAATGAAAAAGGTAGACCATGAAAAGATGGAGAGGATGTGGAGAAACTGGAGTCCTCATACGTTGCTGTGGATTGAATGTAAAATAGTGCAGGTGTGGTGCTTTAGAATACAATTTGGTAGTTCCTCAAAATGTTAAATATGGGGTTATTATATAACCTATCATTCCACTCTTAAATAGCAAGAGAAAATATATGTCCACAAAAAACACTGTGCACAAATGTTTATAGTACCTCAAGGGGGCTCCTAGACCCAAAGCCAACACGAGTGTGTGTGAAGCAAGCAATTCTGGCATTATCCCTCTTAAGATAGCATCAAACTCTGGAGGTTAAGTGCTCAGTTTCTCAACTGCCCTCCCTTTTAGATGCCAATCTCAAGCCTATGTTGTTACCTGTACTTCTGATCAACTGGCTATAAATCATAGGTTCCCATGTACCTCTGCTTTGGTTTGTGAACAGCCAATTGGAAAAGATAAAGAGGAGAAGCTAGAGGAAAAGTTTACAGAGCTTCCATGCTCTCTCCAGGCACACTGTTCTCCCCACATCTCCACATGTTCACCAAAACCAGAAATGTTCTTCCTGTGATGAAATCACTGGCTATTGGCAATGGAACTTCTCTCCCTTTCCAGAGGAGGTCTAGGGATGGGATTGGAGTTTCCAACCCTCTGATCACATGGTTTGCTCTCCTGGCAATTAGCTCCCACCCAAATGTGCTCCTAAAAGTCACCTCATTCACATAACTAAAGGCATATTACCATTCTTAATGCCTAGAAAATTCTAAGGGTTTTGGGAACTGTGAACCAGGAATTGTAAATAAAGACTACATATATATAAGAAATATATTTTGGTCATCTGATTGAGCAAAGATGTATATCTTATAACTCACATTACTGCAGTAGCATAATGGCCAAAAGATGGAAATAACCCAGATTATCCATCAGCTGATGAATAAACAAAATGTAGTATGCCAATACCGTGGAATATTAGTTAGTCATTAAAAAAGGAATGAAGTACTGATACACATTGTAATGATGAATAAAACTGGAAAACATTATGGTTGATGAAAGAAACTTATCCAAAAGACTGTCTGTGTGTGTACATGACTGTATGATGCTATTTATATGAAGTATCCAGAATAGTTAAGAAAATAGAATAATGGTTGATTAGGGTTAGGGAGAGGAGGAAATGGGAAATATTGCTAATGGTATGATGAAAATGTTCTAAAATTACATTGTAATGATAGTTGTACAACTCTTGAACATAGTGAACAATTACTGAATTGTTTATTTTAATTGTATGTGAATTATATCCCAATAAGGCTGTTTTTAGAAAGTGGGTCTTTGTTTTGTTTTAAAGATTTCTTTATTTATGCATACAAGAACGGGAGTATAGGCTAGAGGTGCGGGGGGGGTGGTGGTGAGAAGATTCACCAGAGACAGAGTGGGGAACAGAATAGGCAGAAGGACTGAAGCACACTGCTGAGGGGAGCAGCAGGTAAGATAGGAGAGGTCTGCTTTGCCATGTGGGTAGCTCCCTGGCAGGCTCCTTGGCAGGGGATCGAACTCATGCTACAGATGCTGTGGACAGCTTCATAGTGCTGTGCTTAATCCCTCGTACCACCAGGGAGATCCTAGAAAGTGGGTCTCTAAAGTAAATAATTAAGCAAATTGTGTTAGTACAATTTTTAGGATAATGTGATATTTCCTGATGAATTTTGTGGATGATTTAGGAGACAATCTTTATAAAGATTTTATTTTGGGGCCTCCCCGGTGGCGCAGCGGTTAAGCGCTGGGTTTCCCGCAGCCTCTGCAGTGCTGGTTCAATCCCCGGTTCGATCCCCGGCTGCTCCCTGGCCACCAGAGGAGGGTCCCACATGGCGCGCAGACCTCTCCTGCCACCCGCTGCTCCCCTCAGCAGTGTATTTAGTCGTTCTGCCTGCTCTGCTCCCCGCTCTGGCTCTGGTGAATTCTCTCACCCTCCCGCGCTTCTGACTGTACCCAGTGCTTGTATAAATAAATAAATAAACAAACAAACAAACAAATAAATAAATCTTAAAAAAAAATTAAAGATTTTATTTTATTCCTTCATTGAAGAACTATTTCTTCATTTTTCTCAAGGAACAACACTAGTTATTAAAATCTTGATCTTTCCCTTTCTTCCTCCTCCCCCCAATATAATTGGTAGCTAACAAAAGGTAGTTAAATTATTAATGCAATAGCCAGAAAATATCTGCTGATCATTGGATTTCAAGCTATTTGACTTCAACTCACACTGAGATATATTCTATTTTGCCTCAGAGTAGCTGCCAAATTATAAATAAAAATAACTTAAATGGAAGTTTTATGGCCTCCCTGGTGGCACAAGGAGTTAAGATGCAACCTATGAAGCAATCTGCAGCCACTGCAGCACGAGTTCAATCCCCAGCCAGGGAGATACCCACATGGCGCAGGAGCCCTCTCCTGACTCACCCACTGGTCCCCTCAGCAGTGTATTTCAGTTATCTGCCTGTTCTGTACTTCACTCTATCTCTGATGAGTCCTCTCACCACCCCCCCCCACACCTCTGGCCTGTACCCTAGTTCTTGTATGCATAAATAAATAAATCTTTAAAAAAAATGGAAGTTTCATGAATTAATATTTACCCACTCCCCATACTAGGTATTACATCATCTGATTTTTTTTTCTATTTTTTATTTCATTTTTGAAACTACTGGTTGTGACCGAGTAATTTGATTGTTATGAACCATTAATGGGCCCCCCAAAGTGGGTCTAAATAATCTCTAGTCCACTTGTGTCAGAAAGTGTGGGTTCAGCTTTGTGCTTAAATGTAGATGTGTTTATTAATATTTTTATGGGAAACAATCTGAAAGTACAGTAACCTAGTCAGGTAAATTAAAAAAATGTAAATCACAAGAAAATGTCTCTGAACAGAGACATAAACAGGGCCCCATGGGGACACTTGTTTACTGAGATGAAAGAGAAATAAAATGAATGAAGGAGGCAAAAGAAAAAAAAGCAACAACAACACTGAGGGGATTGAAGAGCAATTCTAAGAAAAGTTGCATGCCAAATTTCTGGTTACCTTATTCTTCCCTCTTATTCTTCAAGATTTGCACTCTAATTTCCTTTTTTTCCAGTTCTTTGTTGTTGTCACTTGTGGTATAATTGACACATAAAATTTTATTAGTTTCAAGTGTACATCATAATTATTTGATATTTGTATATATTGTGAAAAGATTACAAAAAAAGTTTCGTTAACATCTTTCCCCATGCATAGTTACAAGGAAAACATTTTTTCTTGTGATTAGAACTTTTGAGATATACCTTTCAATATGCAATTGCACTCTGATTTTCTATCCCAATATGCAATCATATTGAATTTGTCTGAGGCTTGATTTGGAGGACTAATAACCCAGTCTTGTTAGGCCCTGATGACATTTGGGGCTTGGAGCTAACAGATATCTCCTTTTGTTTGACTTAGCTCAACCTAAGAAATAATACTAGCATTTCATCTCACAATGGAAGTCTAATGAAAGTCAGTCTTTCTACTGAATGAAAGTAGTATTGGCCAGGAGCCCCTATTCTCTGATTATGTCTCATTTGAAAATCTGTCTCAAGTACCTGACAATCAAAGAGGAATATCTTCCATCTTGCCATTATTTGTTCACAGCTATGCCATCTGGCTCATGTAACCAGAAGACAACTTGGCACCCACAGCCACCCAGAATGACCGGCAATTCTCAAAACATCTTATTTGTCTTTGCCAAGAACTAAGTAACAACTGATCTCCAAATGTGAGTACTTACCATGGATAACAAATGACTTGGATGGTGGGGTTTTTAAAGAAGATGGGGTTGGAAGAGCGTTTTGGAGTCGTCAGCGATCTCAAACTGTGCTCTCACAGTATAACCTAGTTGATATTTTCTTTGTGTTTGTCTTTGAATTTTCAGTTTAATTTAACAAATACTTTTTGAGCACCTGCCATATGAAATAGAATGAGCCAAGCCCTGAGTGGATTCAAGTTATATTAATCTGGGAGCTGGTATTGTTACAGGGCAGGGAAGGGGCACCCAGTAACCCCAAATCTGCCTACTCTAAATGGGTTCTGCCATCTGCTGCATCAAGATAAAACATACTCTAGTGTATAAGACCTTCAGTGGAAAGGAACTTTAATACAATTAGTGTGCAATAAAGAAAAGAGAAGGAAAAGAATTGATAAAATAGTTTCCACATGAAACACCCAAAGTTATCCATCCCCTTATGGGTCAATGCCCAGCCAAACAGGGTGGACCCAAAGCAGGACCACTGAGGCCCGAAAGCTTGCCATAAGTCTAAGGCACCTTTTGGTGGGGACCCATAGGAAAGGAGCAGAAGGGGCCACACAGGTTTGGAAGGAAAAGAGCAAAATCAAAATCAAGATAAAGCTGTTGTTGTCAACCTTCCCACGGGTCCCTTACCCAGGTCTGTTTTAAGAATCTCCTTCCATGTCTTCCAAGTCCCTGGTACAAGTCCAAGGCAAAGAAGCAGACGCAGCTTTACACATCTCTCTGTTCCATGTGCCTCCTCCAGGTCTCCTGTATCTGCTTCTCTGCTTCAGCTTCTTCCAGTCTTCCCCACAGGCTTCTCCTGCTCAGCTCCACACTTCCATGGGTGGGCCAGGGAACTTGGAACCACCCCTTCCCGGGGACCACCCTGTTACAATTCTAGTTTGGTAAGAAAGGAAACATCAGATTTCATTGGCTAATCTGTTATAGGGCAGGGAGAGGGCAGCCCAAACCCCGCAAACCTGCTTATTCTATATAGGGTTCTGTCATATATTCTATATAGGGTTCTGTTATCCGCCGCATCAACACAAAACATATGAGACTTTAATGAGAAGGAACTTTAATAAAACTAGGAAACAATACAGGAAAGGCAAAGAATCTAGTTTCTAAATGAAGCACCCAAAGTTACCCGTCCCCTCGTGGGTAAAAGTCCATCCAAATGGGATTGGCCCAGAGCAAGGCCCCAAAGCCTGCCACAAGTCCAAAGCATCTTCCAGTGGGGACCCACAGAAAAGGGTCAGAAACAACCAGACAAGCCCAGAAGGAAAAGAGCAAAATCAAAATCAAGATAAAAGCTGCCATTGTCACCTTCCCACGGGTCTCACCCACATCTGTCACCTAGTCCATGACCAAAAGACAAGCGCAGTTTCTTCATGTGTCTCTAGGCTCCATGCTCCTCCTCCAGGTCTCCTTCTGGCTCCATCCTGCTTCCTTCCTTCCTCAGTCTCCTCTGCAGCTTCTTCTCTCCCTGCTCAGCTCCACCCTCCCTTGGGTGGGGCAGGGAACCTGGAACCTCCCCCTTTCCTGGGGACTACCCTGTTACAAAACCAATAGAAGTTTATCTCATGCTCATTTAATAGCCCAGTGATGCTCTTCTAGGTCAGTGGGCAGCTCTTTCTTCCACCCAGCGATCCAGGGATTCAGTCTCTTTCTATCTTGAGTTGCTGCCAGACTTTAGGGAATCAGAATCTTCTGCCCAAGAGGTAGAAGACTGAAGAAGACACACACACTTCTTAAAACACCCAGCCCAGAAGCGACACACCTCACTTCCACTTACATTCGACTGGTAAAAACAAGTCACTTGGCCACATCTAGAAGTAAAATATTGGCCATTGTCATCCCTGGCTTGGTAGCCACTTCCCTGCAATGACTTTATACTCAGGAGCACAGAGGGGGTGGGGGTGTTACCGAATGCCGTATCAGGGGGACCAGCTAAAGGGCTGTCATACACATTGTGTAAGATGTAGCTTCTACCTACAAAGAACCTTTGTCAAAGAAAAGAAAAAGTTCACTGGAGAGAAATATCATGAAGGAGGTAGCATTTGAGACCATCCTTGATTGACAGAGAGAACTGCCAGACAGTTTTGGTAAAAGGGACATTCCAGATGGAGAGACTGCGCTTCCAGCACTAGGAGAATATGGAATAACTTGTTTTCCTGGAACAAAGCTTTGCTTAGGGAAGAGATTAAGTTAAAAGGGTTGATTAGGTCACTGTTAAGTAAGGCCTAGAATGTCAGGAGAAAGAGTTTGAATTCAATGCCTCCATTATCATGATTATCATGCATTTTTAACACAAAGGTCCCAGAATAATCAAAGCATTAATCACTGACAAGTTATAGTCACAGACTGGAAAACACATTCCGTATGAATGGATTTCATTTTTTCAGATGGCAGCATCATATTGCATTCACAGGCTGTAACAGATTACAAAATTTTGCATTTGTGCCCATGTGTCTTGATGTTTACGAAATACAATCCAAAACATTTCCACTTCACTCCTGCTCCTTCTTGCAAAGTGATCTAGAGATGCTGGGGTTGCCTTGCAACTGACATCACAAACCTGCAGTGCTTCCCGCCTCCCAGGAGAGAGGACTTTCCCAGGTCTGTGAAGTCTGAAACCTGCCACCAAACACTGTACATTCCACAAATATGATTTTGTTAGGGGGGAAAAGGATGTCCCAAAGCTAATTCCATATAGGCTTTGTGGACTCCACCCCCACCCTAGGTCAAAGTCAAAGACACTGGGAACTCCAAATCCCATCACCACCAAAGGGAAGGTGGCTGGGACCTGAGGGTGGGGTTAAGCAGCCAGGTGGATATAAAAGGCAGGCACGTGGGCTTTGGAGGGCACCCCCCATTTTTGGCTCTCCGCCAGCTCGCAGTCCGGCCAGCTCTGAGAGTGACTTTGGGTTTCCAGGTCGTTGGATCGGGTAGGACGCATTAAAGACTTTATTTCCCTATTTTCTCCGAGTTGTACATTTTCCTTATTTCTTTTTCTCTTGTAAATAAACCTTTTATTAACCCTTTTGTGTGTGTGTCTGTAGTAGAGTATTCATAAGTCCCTTTAAAGTGCGCGGGTGAGGACCCACAGCCAGGAACCCGTTTAATATCCGGGTTGCTCTATAACAATTTCTCTTCCCCTTAGGCCAACAGAGCCGTTAGAACATTAGGGTCAATGACATAGTGAAAATTTATACTGGGGCCTCCCTGGTGGCGCAGGGGTTAAGTTTCAGCACTATCAAACTATCACCAGCCACTGTCACATGAGTTCAGTCCCCTGCCGGGGAGCTACCCACATGGCGCAGCAGACCTCTCCTGTCTCCTGCTGCTCCCCTCAGCAGTGTATTTCAGTAGATCTGCCTGTTCTGCTCCCCAGTCTGTCTCTGGTGAATCCTCTCATCCCCTGAACCTCTAGCCTATACGCCTGCCCCCAGTTCTTCTATGCATAAATAAATAAAATAAAATTTAAAATATAGTCTAAATAGGGATAACATCTACAGAACTCTTCTTGTTGCATACTTAATTTTATTTGCTTATAAAATTAGAAAATCATAAGCACTAATTTTCATGATCAATATTTCTTTTTGTAAATTCAAATTCATAGTCATTTCCCACTATAAAATCAACAGAATTTTAAAAAAATTTTATTTAATATGGGTGAGGATATTGTGAGAGGATAGTCATTCAATGGTGCTGAAGTCAGTTTTGGAGATGTTGGGTTTGGAGAGCAGGGTCCTTGGGTTAATTCTGGGAAAGTTTCACCAGAGCTCCCCTTTCAGAGGCACCAGCAAGTTTCCCAGGCGAGTTTCTCCATGAGTCAGAAGTGTTATATACTAAAGGGCAGGTTTATCACATAAAAGAGGAAAGAGAAAACGGTCACTTGCACACAAGTGAGCAGAAAGTGCTGCCCATGAAAGGGATAGGTTTGCTAAAAGAGAGGTTGCACAGTCATGGGCGGGCAGCCTTGGAGGGAGAGCCACCTCTGCTGCTTTGCAAAGGGAGAAAGTTGGCAGAAGGAGCACTTGCATAGGCACAGGCAGTCAGGAAGGCTGCTGCCCCTTGCCAGTGCAGAAATTGCCCTGATAGTCTTCTCTTTGGGAGGGCTCATTCCTTTGTGGAGTTGTTAACTTTTAACCTAATTACTACTAGGGTGTGACTAGGTTGATTTGTAAGGACTAGTATTCTCTACACTGTTCACCATCTCCATGTCCCACCTCTGGTCTGCACCTCCTGACACTCTCTGTAGCATCCGATACCTGCTATAGCAGGTGGCGCCTAAGGATTTTTCGCTGGTATAACTGTTATAGAGCAACCCCGATATTAAACGGGTTCCTGGCTGTGGATAACGACTATGTTAGTCACTTCTACCCCCACCTCCAGTTTCTGGCACTGCCTGAGTCCGGTTTCTGGTCTTGTGGAGACTCTTTTCCAACTTTTCTACTCTTAACCTCCATCAGCGCTATGAATTTAAATAGGAACAAACTTACTGCAAAGCAACTTGGCAAAGTATATCAAGGGTTTAGAACACAGATATCAATTGTTTTTATTATATATGCACACAAACAGCAAAAAGACATTCTCTCCCCACCAAAAAAAAAAAAAAGTTAGTGACAGTTATCTCTTTGTGATGGGATAGAAAGCAATTTTCACTTTGTAAATTTTTCCCCAGTGAGAAAGTATTACTTTCAGGATTATGGTAAAAATTCTTTCCATAATTTAAGAACAGGTATAAATATTTTAAGAAAATATTGTTAATATTCAGAGAGAGTCCACATTTTATAAGAATATCATATCAACTAATTCTATATGTATATCCATACATGTGTCTATAAAAATAAGCAACCATTCACCTAATATCTGTTTTCTCAGGGCTAATGTGATATACAGATGAACTAAGTCTAAAATCAAGTTTATCTATATTTTAGTATTATTGGAATATGAATTAGGGACTACTTTAAATTTCCTATTTT